GTTTAGTTCAGTTAGAACAGTGGAGCTGAGAAAATCATTTGTTTTTACCCATCTAATTTTGCACAGCACCCTCTAGCTAGTTGTCCTTCCACCCTCCTGAGAGAGGTGGAGAGTAACATAACCAAAACCCAGGCAAGCTCTGACTCCTTAGGCAACAGTCCATGTGCATTGGCTCTCCTAGCCTGAACTGTAGTTGCCTTCATCATACTAAAACCTTATTAAGGGCTTATAAATAGGCCCTACATCACATATTTATAACTATATAACTATATACATATATAATTCTATATATATATATATATATATAATTAAGATGACAGTGGCTGTAGGATGGCATGCATGTTGAGAGCCCCTGAGACAACAGCCCCATGTGGACAGACCACAACACTCTGCCAGTCTGCCAGTCATACCTAGGGACTCAGAGGCACTTGGGCTGAGGTACAGATTCTTTCAGTTCCAAAATCTTGCTCTGTACTGCATCACCTGTCCCATGCGCAGTGCCTTTTCTGTCCTGTCATCCTGCACCACTTTTCTGTTTGTGCCATGTTTTTTGTTGGCATGGACTTTCCCCGAGCAAAGCTCCCCATGATCATCAAGAAACATAGCTGCTTTTCACTTGCTGTTGGGTGTACACATGCAATTCTTTGCCCGTATGCACAGAAGAGCCTGGTTTTATCTGGTAAATTCATCACTTGGTAACAGGTTCACTGACTTCTGGAAGCGAAAGAAGTTTCAGGACGTGGCAATAAGTAGCATAAAGCTTATTAGGCAGAATTTTAAATGTGTTCAGACAGAGAAATAGAGTGTGGGACACAGTGAGTTGGGGGGAAGAGGAGAGGGTGCTGGAGGGAAAGGGAGGATGCAGTAGAGGGAGAGGGACTGGCAGAGGGAGAGAGAGTAGCAGGGGAGACACTCATCTTTACGGCCTTAACCTACACGTATTAAGGGGGATTTGAGGGGGGAATCTCTAAAGTTTATAAATCTGTGGAAAGAGGATTCATTTGCAGGTAAAAGACAACAGCTTTTTTTAGGAGGTCAGTTGCCCATGCATACATGATGACCACCTCACAGATGACGGAACTGTAACCCATCCATAGGAAAGGCTCATTTTATTGTTGAAAAGGAGCTGTCTAGTCATAGGTAGAAAAAGCCCATTTATAGGTAAAAGGCAATGACCCAGGCTTATTGTGTCTTTAAGGATCTTGGAAAGTTTTTTTACTAAGTTTGTGTCTTGAACCTGCAGTTTTCATTAAAAGTACAATTTTAAAATTATGATTTTTCTTATCTCCTTTCTACCTATCTTATTTTTCTTGTTCTGCCTCAATCACAGGTCCTGGTTCAGAGTTCTTTGGTTCATAATAGTGACATAACTTATGTGACCCTGGACGTGTTATTAAGTGCTCTGTGCTTTAGTTTTCTCAGATGTAAACAGGGAATAGCAATCATACCAACCTCATAAAGCAACTGTGAAGACTTAGCTAATAAACACATGCATTGCACTTAGAACAGGATATGTTACTTAGCAACAGTTCAGTCAATGGGCATTGCATTGGAGTCATGATTTAAACTGATGTTTCTGAGGGTCCATACCCCATACTTTCCCCCCACAGAACTGGCAGCTTTTATCAGGGAGATTTTCAAGGGAAGAACAGTGTTAGACTTCATCTATGTAACAAAGTCTCTAGAGATAAAGGATGGCAGTGGGGGGCGATCTCTAGATAGCATGCCTTCTCTGAGTATAGATCCCCAAGTAGGAAGAAAACTCAGCCTGTCTTCAAGTTCCCTCACAGGAGCTTCCCCTGAGCCTGAATCTAACCTGGCCCTAGGAACATGGGGGAATTTCCTCTTCCCTCTGCCCCTTGTGGCCCAAAATTGTCAGTGTTAACTCTAGGGACCCTGCCTGTAGGGAATGAGTTAGTGCAAAGTAGAAAAGGCTGTTAGATCCTATCTTCACCTCCCACACATGTACTGAGCAGGGTGAGACCAAAGCAGATGATGTTTAGCAGTGGTAGGTGAACCAAAGACTGCATTATAAGAGAAATATAACTCCCAACCTACTGGATGTTGGATGTGCCAATCTGTGTCCCTTGAATATCAAAGAATGAATTCCAAGGAGCAGTGGAGGTTAAGATTAGGAAAGGTAAGAGAAAGTTCCTGAGAGAGAGAGAGAGAGAGAGAGAAGAGAGAGAGAGAGAGAAGAGGTCCTGAGAGTGGGTTGCCACAGGGCCTACTTTTCCAGGATATTTCATAGAACAAAATCATGAGGTGGGTATGGGGTTAATAATATCCCTTAATTACTGCAGGCTGATCAGGTCCACAATCTCCTGAATGAGTGTATGGCTAAGGCTAAATAAAAACAGGCAAATTGAATGATTTCAGGGCTCTAGGAGGATCAAAGCCCTCTCACATGATTTAAGATTGTCTCAGGGCTAAGATCAGGACATTCTCTGTGTTGCCCATATTTATTTGGTTATCAGAAGAAGGGAGGGGAGTACTCAAGAAGGACAGAACCACTCACGGACTTCTGTAAGTAAGGTATGAAGTTAATCCACTGAAGAATGAGATGCCTGAGGCTATAGTCTTCATCTAGTTGATATCTGATCCAAGTGTCTTTGGCTGTGATCTTGTCTTGTCGTTTGAGGATTTCTGGCTTCATCCACCACTACAGGTTCTAGCAGGGATTAGTGACTTGTAGAGGTTCACTTACTGTAAGTCCACCATTCACAGATAAGAAGCCTAGGCCTTGGACAGATTCACAAGTGAACATGAAAAGCCAATTGATTAATTTAAGTCCTGCTCAGGTCTGGTTCATAGTGTTCTCCATCAGGTGGATGCAACATGGGTCAAACTATAACAAGCTAAAAGGATTACAAGTACAGCTGCTTAGCTAATGTTGATTTTATAGGGAAGTAAGACACATAGCTAGTGTATATGGCTAACATCATTAACTTTAGCTTATCTATAACTTCTAACATAGAAAGAATAAAAACATTTTGGGGATAAGATGGATCCAGATGTTCTGGTCACCAGCCTGAAAGTCTGTTGTCTATCTGGATGTGCTGGACCAGGTAGTACTAATTCTCAAGTTGCTATTTATCTCTCAGTGAGCCACGCAAGCCTGACTATTGTGTCTTCATCTTGCTGCCTGGCCTTCTTCACACTCACCTCCAGCCACAGTTCTGATGTGTTTTCATCTTCTCCACTGATTTCCTCAAGGCCCACCTCTGTCTTTTCGTATCCTCTGCACACTGTGATTTATAATTAGAATGACCAATATATAATTTTGTTATAAAATTTCATCATGTCAGCTATGTATTCCTCCCTTGTATTTTATATGATTTATTTTCTGAAAATATAGGAATTTTGCTTATTGCAACTTTATCAGGTTTAAATTTACAAGTGTATTTTCTCACTAAATGTGTCAATCTTTCATCTATGGTGGTTGTTTAAATTTTAAAAAAATATTATAATAAAAGACACAGACAGTGTCATTAATCCCCCTCAGAAAACTCTACCTCACTTCAAACATACTTATCTCATCTTTCTTGCCACTTCCTGAAACAGTTCTGGAAGTCCTCTTTTGTGAGGGTCATTATTTATGCTGACATGAATGCTTCAATGTCCTGAATTGATTCAAAATATTTTCCTTTCATGGTCATTTCAAATTTAGGTAAGAGCAGGAAGTGGCATGGTGCCAGATCACATGAATAAAGTGACTGAACACAAATGTTTTTAAGAATATTTCTTTCCACTGGCCACCTAGTTTTTGATAACATCTTATAAAGACACTCAGGAAAGAGGATTTGCAGAACTTCTGTAGAAAGCAGCAGGAAGGAAGGATAAAATAAGTGTATTCAAAGTGAGGCAGAATATGTTGAGGAAATTAATGGCATTGTGTCTTTTACTCCAATTTTTTTTACTTAAACATTCAACATATAGTTTAGTCACCACTTGTATTTTCCCCTCAGCAATACCTGTAAGGCAAATTTACTCATTTATTTATGAAGTTGATGTTAGCAGAGTTACATGCCAGTTATGATAGTAATTTGACCTGATCATGTCACTCATTTATAAACACCTTCAGGGGCATCCTGTGTCTTTAGAGATAAGGCTTCAAATCACTGGGTGAGCCTCGCCTGTTCCCCATACAATACAGGAGTTGTGTTTTCCTACCTTAGGGTATTTTCTTTTTGGTCTAACATGTTCTTTTCCTCTTGTATCTAGCTAATTCCTACCCTCCTTGGACAGCCCAGCGTGAGAAATTCCTCTCCTTTAAGCTTTTTTCATCACCCTTGACTAAGATAAGAGCCTCTTCCTAAACAGCCGGCAGAGTTCTGTGCTTCACAGGGTATGCGAGATGACTGATGGATGTACCTGCTTCTTGTAAAGACATTGTAAGATTCCTGGTGGCAAAAGATTGTATCTTGTTGAATTTTACAGTCCTTATGCTTGAAGCATATCTGTGCAATAAATATTTAGAGGTGAACTGAATAGTAAGAAAAGACTAGCTACACCATTAATCTCATATGCAAAATTTACCCTTTTAAGTTTGACTGAATGAAAAACTATGGAAGAGGATAGAATATTTGGGGGAAAGCCACACAGTGTAGAGATAAACAGAAAGGAGTTAGAGTGCATAAATTCAAATAGTTTTCTGTGACATGGTATCTGTATGAAATGTACAAATGTCATATGTCCTTTTCTCATCTGCAAAGCAGTAAGAAAGATTGTACTTATCTCATTAGGCATATTTAGAAGAGCTAGCTATTATTATTTTAGGTTAATATTAATAGTAGTAATAATAATAATCGCAATTAAAATGCTATCTTTCAATTCTGACAGATCAAGACGGAGAGGGAGGGAGAAGGGAGAGAGAGGTGAGGGGAAGAGAGAGAGAGAGAGAGAGAGAGAGAGAGAGAGAGAGAGAGAGAGAGAGACCATAGATTTGGCAATCCCCTTAATCCCAATTTTTCTCTTTTCCTTGTCCACGTCAGCATCCCATGGACTCACGCAACCGCTCAAGTCTGTCTGAATTTGTACTACTTGGCTTCCCCAATGTGGGACATGTTAGGGGCTGGCTCTTTGTCCTGCTGCTGTTGGCATACTTGTTCACTATCTGTGGTAACATGCTCATCTTCTTAGTTATACGACTGGATACAGACCTACATAAACCCATGTACCACTTCGTGGGTGTTCTCTCCTTTTTGGAGTTGTGGTATACAGCCACCACCATCCCCAAAATGTTAGCTAATCTTCTCAGTGAGAAGAAGACCATTTCCTTTGCAGGATGCCTCCTTCAGACCTATTTCTTCCACTCCCTCGGGGCCTCTGAATGCTACCTTCTTACAGCCATGGCCTATGACCGGTATCTGGCCATCTGCCAGCCCCTCCACTACCCTGCAATTATGACCACAACTCTGTGCATCAGGCTGGCTGCTGGCTGTTGGATTTGTGGCTTTCTGTGTCCAATTTCTGAAGTCATCCTGGTCTCCCAGCTCCCCTTCTGTGAATACAATGAGATCCAGCACATCTTCTGTGACTTTCCACCTCTTCTGAGCCTGGCATGCAAGGACACCTCCACTAATGTTCTGGTGGATTTTGCTGTGAATGCCTTCATCATCCTGCTCACCTTCCTCTTTATCATGGTTTCTTATGGAAGAATCATTGGGGCTGTGCTAAAGATTAAAACAGCTGCTGGAAGAAAGAAGGCCTTCTCTACCTGTGCCTCACATCTCACTGTGGTCCTCATCTTCTTCGGGAGCATCATCTTCATGTATGTGAGGCTCAAGGAGAGCTATTCACTGACTCTTGACCGAACACTTGCCGTAGTGTATTCTGTATTAACACCACTGGCCAACCCAATCATCTACAGCCTTCGTAACAAGAAACTCATAAAGGCCATCAAGAGAACCATTTTCCGGAATGGGGCAAGAGCTAGTCCCACTCCCCATTGACTTTCTTCCAAGGTCCTTCCCTTATCTGAATATTTACTTCATTTAACCTGTATGGAACACTAACATGGCCTTAAAAAATCTTCCCATTGCCACACATACTCTAAATGCCATCTCTTCCCACCTTCTCAGAGGCATTATTTCCTCATGTTTTTCTTTGATTTCCTGCATCTTGATTGTTCATATCTGTTACCTGATCAGTGCTGTCAGCTTTTAAGAATATGTTAGCACCTCCATTCTTTAAACATAAAAGTATACACATTTCCCTGGAGGAATGTTTCCATCTGGCTAGAGATCAGTTTTTCTGCTCTCTGATTGAATCAAAGTTCTCAACATAACTCATCCTCTCTTTTCCATTTACTGTTATTGATTTGACCATTCCAGTCTGGGTTTGTCTTAGGCCTCCTTACTAACACTTTGCCAAGGTTACTAATGACTTCCATGATGCCAAATCCATTAGACCCTTCTTGTCCTTTCCCTTTCTTAAAGTCTCAGCACACATGCCTGGTCCTTACTTCCTAAATATGTTTGTCTCCTCTTAGCTTCTATAGTATCATCATCTACCAATTTTCTCACTCTCCTGGGTCTTTCCCAGTCTCCTTCATTTTGTAGCACTTTCTCTTTAAATTCTCAGTTATTCTTATAGCTTTTATATTTTTGAGACAGAGTCTCATTATGTATTGCAGGCCAACCTTGAACTTGCTTACGTAGCCCACGCTGGCCTCAAGCTCATGGCTATCCTTCTGTCTCAGCCTCTTGAGTGCTGGGATTAGAGGAAGCATCACCATGCCTAGCTTCTTTTTGAAGCTTCTGCAAACACATTAAGATCTTTCTGGCTTTGGTATCTTCACACATTTTTTTTGTTCCCCTAACAGTCATTGCATTTAAGCCTCATAATTGTATGAGTTTCTGTTCAAATAAGACTTTCAAATGACACCACATTTTAGAGGACTTTGGAAAATCCAGCCTACTTTATATTACTGACTTTTGTCTTTTCAATTATATTTGTCTTTCGCAATATGTATAAAAATTTATATGTGTATACACAATTGTGTATATGTATCTGTAAAGACTTCAGCAGTCTTTCCTGCGAGTCTCTAAGTTACATTTGATCTGAAATCATGTCAGTTTGGTTACACATCACATATTTAAAATCTAACATAATAAACATGGTATCAATAAAAGTGTAATAAATGAAACATGTAATGAATGTTATCTACTCAAATCATTAAAATATTTCATCTTTAAAAACTCCAGCTTAGTTCTAATTACTGCTAGAGCCCCCTCATCAATACAGTGTTTTGGTCTAACCTTGCTTTTCTAAGCAACCAGTCTTAGCACATTCTGCATCTGTCTTTTCAATCTGATCACTATTCTTAGTCACTGAGTGTCACCCTTAGTTAACTTTTCTGGATTTGATTTTCTTTATTCATAGAGTGCAACAAAGGACAAGCTATCTTTAGATGCATTTATTGTTAACACTATATACTTTTAAAATTTCATATAAACCTTTCTGTTTTGTATGTCTTTTGTGGCCCTCAAACTCCTCGGTTAGCAAAGTAGAAGGTTTTGTTTCTGGAATATCTATTAAAGATATTTTTAGTTTCCTGGAATATCTATTAAATGTTTATTTAAATAGTTACTGCAAGTCTGAATTTTCTTAGTCATGCAGAGAGATTAGTAAATTATTTGAAAGTTTTTTCTTGTGTACTGCTTACACATACATGGAGATGTAAAAGTTACACATACATACACATGCACACTTTCATCTCAGTGGAACATAGGGCAAAATCATGATCTTAATTTGTGGGTGAGAATGGCCCAGTATTTCCTTTCTTATATTTCAATTTTTCTTCCTTCCTGCTTCTGTATTCATTTCCCTCCCTATACTGCTCTATATAATAATAAAAATTATTGTTTCTCTGCATGGCTCCTAGAAGTACATGGAAAGCAGAAGGTGTCCAGACTGTCCTTTCCTATTTCCTAAGACACCATCTTTCTCCACTCTCTTACTTCTCTACTGTAATATTTTAATGCAGCATAACCTAAATTTTCATAGAAAACTAAAAACCAAAGTATTCAGAAATCAGAGCTGGGGTTGATGCTCAGCAGTTGAGCATTTATCTAGTGTATATGAGAGCATGGGTTTGGGGTTGGGGATTTAGCTCAGTGGCGAAGCGCCTGTGTGGCAAACGCAAGGTCGTGAGGTCGGTTCCCCGTACCGGAGAAAAACCAAAAAAAAAAAAGAGACCCTGGGTTTGATCCTTAGCACTACAAAAACAGAGAAAAATGGGCTTCAAAGTCACAGAAAAATGACTAGCGTTATTCTGATGTGCTTTATATTTTCTTTTAAGCTTAATTTCTCATTTTCTTTAAAAAAATCCACCACAGTTTAAGGAAATTAAATACTATGTGCCGCTAGGGTTCTAGGCACTGAAACAACATTATCATGCAAAACTTCCAGTTTGCCAAGGGAAAGCAAAATGCACAAGCTGGATGGCTACTTACTAATTTTTTAAATCAGTGAAATATAACACGCACACAAAAGACTGCACAAAACATAACGTGCGACTCCATGAACTATCACAGGCTGAAATGCAAGCATTATGGAATGAGCGTTCAGAAAGGATCACAGCAAAAATCTCCAAAACCTCCCTGTGCTCAATTTCAGTCTTCTTCTCTGCTCCTCCTTTAGGTGCAACCAGGATCTGAGATTTAACACTGCAGATTGGTTTACCATTTCGATATTTTATATAAGTTCATTCACATAGTACAGTCTTTGTCATAGTGTCAGGTTTCTTTCATATAATATTGATGATGCGATTCCTCCCTTCAATCTCATATAGTTGTACTTCTTCCCTTTCTTGTTGCAGCATAGAATTCTGTTCTGTGAGTATTCCACAACCTAAGTATGTATTCTATTTTAACAAGCACTTTAGTGATTTTCAACTAGGTCTATTATAAATAGCACTACTATAAACATAATTGTACTTATTTTTCAGTTAGCCTACATTCTCTTTACACTTGGACAAATTTCTAGGAGTCAACTGGTTGAATCATTGGCTGTGCACACATTCCTCTTTAGCAGACACTGCAAATTAAGTTTGAAAATGATTGCACCAGCTAGACCTTTATAACCAGGGAAGATAAAATTATCAGGGATAAAAGCAAAAGTCATCAGTAGTATGATAAGCAAATTTTCAAGGAAGAAATATTCAATTGAGCCTTACAAATAAGTTTTATAAAGAGGATTAAATAATAAATAAATTTAAATAAAATAATATAAGCAAAGGCACAGAGAAAAGAAAATGTGAACTATCTTTAAGCAACATAAAATAATACACTTTTAAATTGTTTTCTGTTTAAAATTTAACTTTTGTATATGTCATATTTTCATATTTATAACAATTCATCTTTTCAGTGTTAATACCTATGGTTTTACAAAAGTTGGGTAAATAAAGTTTAAGTAAGGATCAAGATCAATTGTCTCTCTCCTTAGACTTCATCCAGATCATGATGAGCTTTCATCTACTATTTCTAGCCAGACCCTGGCATTCAGCAACCCATGCTAGGTCTATATTTATCTTTCCAGGGATATCAGGAAAATACATTCACAAGACAATATGTTACTGTCATTTTTATAGATGTCATTTTCAGGAGGAGGGTGCTCATTTGTATTGTGAATATGAGGTTGTTTAAAACTTGTTAATGATACTCTGCTTTCTCTTCAGATTGTATAAATCTTTCACCTTTTAAAAACTATTAATGAATGTTGAATTTTGTCAAAGGCTTTTCCTGCATCTAGTGAAATGATAGTGCAATCTTTCTAAAGCTTTTGATATTGTTAATTTTAGTAATTGGTTTTCCCAGATTGAACCATTTTTACAAATGAATGATAACTATTTGTCATGATATATTATAATTTTCTTCCTATTGAACTTAATTTGGTAATATTTCATTGAGGATTTGTGAATTTTTGTTTATGAAGAATGTTGGATGTAGGTGGGTGTGGTGGTACACACCTGTAATCCCAGCACTGGGGAGGCTGAGGCAGGAGGATCATTGTGAGTTTGAGACCAGCTTGGGCTGCAAAGTGAGCTCAAGGCCAGCCTGAACTGCATAGTGAGACCCTATCTCAAAAATACAAAAAAGAAGAAGAAGAAGAAGAAGAAGAAGAAGAAGAAGAAGAAGAAGAAGAAGAAGAAGAAGAAGAAGAAGAAGAAGAAGAAGAATGTTGGTTGTCATTCTCCGTCCCATGCAATATCTGTTAGAGCATAGTGTTTAGTTAATGCTGGCATGGGTTACGATAAGTTGTCTTTTCTTTCGCGCTCTGTAAAGTTTAATGTAATTGTTGTAATTTTTTCCTTAAACGTTAGTAGACTTTCCCAATAAAGCAACTAAGATACAGAGTTTTAGTTGTTGGAAATTTAAAATTACAAAGTAATTTATTTGTGGGTAGAAGAAAGATATTGGAAAGTAGAAGGAACATGTTGAACTGTGAAAGGGAACAAGTGGGGGGAAGGAAGGGATGAAAGGTTAAGAGGACAGAAGGGAGGAGACAGGAGAGGGAGAGAAAAGAATTAAGATATATACAGGTACAACTTCCCTGTGATGGATGTGACCATTATGTATGACAAATTTGTACTAATTTTAAAAAATAAATTTAAAAAAGAAGGGTATTCTCCTGATTTTCTTTTATTCTGTGAGAGCTTGAAAATTGGGATATTCAAGAAATGTGTTTATGCTGTTGAACTTCTGCTAGGGTTTTACTTATTATTGCCAAATCTTGTGGTAGTCTCTATACCGTTTTCAATCGTTTTTCCTCTCTCATTCCTAATATTTGTAATTAATATGCTTTTTTCCCCCACCCTTTTGGTTAGTCTGGCTAGAATACCCGCAATCTTTATTAATTTTTTTCTTAAAGAACAAGTTTCTTGTCACATTAGTTTTCTTTAGGCCTAGAGCAAGGCAGAAATATCACAGCACAAATCTTGAGGCAGATG